TCTCCAAGAAACCAGTAAAGAGGACTTGGAACGCGGACAAGTTGAAGGTCTACTATAGCTAGGTCTCATGTTCGACGTTCGAAATAGAAAGACGAGCTCTTAAGCTCGGTCAATAGTTAGAATTATTTCTACGCAAATAAGACGAGCTATTAAGCTCAGTCAGTAGGTAGATTTATTTCCAAGCAAATAAAACGAGCTTTTAAGCTCAGCCCTTGTAAAGAGATTTCGTTGAAATGCAAATAAAAAGAGCAGTTACTTAATTTCTGTTATCTATGCATATCGATTTCCACGCAAGTAATTGAAGCCTCAGGAGCTTCGTGGCCGAAAAGGAATAAAATTTTGTTGACGAGCAAAAAATAATCCTAGATCGGCTAAAACTTAGCGAATCATAAGTCGATTACGACAAGATCGAAATAGAGCTTCAAACTATAAGTAAAAAAGAAGCAACGATCTCGGCAAAATGAAATTAAAGACATAAGATTCAAAAAGCCGACCCAAAGCGGCAATTATGTTCTGACAAAGTAAAAAAAAGGGGCTCAAAGGCCCCGTAATCAAAATAACATAAGAAGGTCGGCATTCTGACCCCTTCATTCTTCAGTAGGAGATGAAGCGGCGAGAAATTTGGATCCGACCTCCCCCCCATCAGTGGACTCGGCATCAGGGGTTCCAGGGACTATGATGTCGTCCTTAACCTCATAGGCCACGTCCATACCATCCACCACCATGCCGGGATTCAAAACCTGAGCCTGAGCAATAGCGTTGTCAAAAGCTTGAATAGCGGCCCTAGCAACCACGGCTTTAGCCTCTTCAAAGTCGGCCTGCAGATCTGAAAGTCGGGCATCCTTTTCGGCAATAGACTCCGAGAAGGACTCCTTCTCGGCACTCAAGTCATTAGCCTTGGCCGTAACCACCTCCAAATCTTTCTTGGCTTTATCTAGCTCAGAGGACAACTCTTGAATTCTGACCTCCAAATTTGACTTAGACCTGCTAAGCTCCTCCACCTTGGTAGTGAGAGATGAGTTAGAAGTAATAGACAAGTCGAGGCTCTGATTAAGATCCTGAAAGGTTTGAAGCAATGAGATCGTCTTCAAAGAATCCTCCTCCATTCGTGCCAGCATGGCCCTCACAGTAGAGGTCAAGCCCGAACCACCAATGATCCCAGGAGGAGGCTTTAATACGGCCCTAAGACGGTCTGAAACCCCCGTTCTCCATAATTCCCCGGGCTCAACGTTGATCAAATTCCCTTGAGGAGCGATAGGAGGGACTGAAAGCAGTGATAAAGGAGGAGTCTGCGCACCAACCATGGTCACCCCGGCTCCCGCCGAGTATGGAATCTATCCGCCTTTTCTTCGAAGTCTCCGACTCGAGAGGAGCAGTTTCTTTCGACTTCCCCTTTCCGGTCTTCTTGGGCAAAAACTTCTTGTATTCAGCAGAGGTCATGCTGACTGCAAAAGGAAAAGCAAAATCAGAATGTAGGTTATAAATCTGCAAGACAAGGTTATCTACAATAAAAAACAAAATGAGCTACATACCAAGCTCATAAATGGCATCCTCCCCAAACTTATCTACAATCCGACTCAAGTCAAAAGCGCCAAATTCATCGGTATATTCAATAAGAACTCGGACTGCCAGAAGTTCCGAGCTGGAAAGTGCAGATAAGGGGATATCATAGTCTTTTGGACGCCTTTGATAATGTTTTTGCGTCCAGTATAATTCAAACCGAGATGATATGCTGTCGTCGTCAAGCCAACTCTCGACAAACCAAGGGAGGGACTCAGAATGGGATACCACCTTAAAGTAGGCATCCTTGAAGCCCTTGAAAGATTGGGAGTAAGGAATAAAAATCCCCCTGCCTGGGGTACCTCATAAGGTAACCCACCCCTTCTTCTCCTTAGACTCGGCGCCAATACGGAAAGTATACACATCAAAGAAGAAGAAAAAGAGAGCAACAATGCAGGGGAGGTACAGGTAGGCACACACCTGCTCAAAACCCCGAATGAAAGCCCATGAATTCGGGTGAAGTTGCGAGGGTGCAACCCTAAGACGTCGGAGAACCGACGTTTGAAAGTCTTTAAAAGGAAGCCGGATACCTAATATGGTAATGAGATCCCTGTAGAAATAAAAGAAATGCGGCTCGTCCAATATGGGACCTGAGCATACTGGAAAGTCGCCGGGTGGAAGAAGATCAACCCCATTCGGATCTCTCGCTGGGAGTTGGGCCACCTCGGTAGAAGACATTGTGGACCGTTTTTGGAGAACCTCGAGAAGGACCCAATCTTGAGCGTTGGACCCTTCCATAACTATATCCCTGGAATATGAAGGACAAAGGTCAGTGCACATATCAACCACATCCGACCTTGGACTACCAACGTCGGATTGCAACGAAGACGGACTCCAAGAAAGAAGAATGGAGCTATTTGAACTACTGACAAGGTCAACAAACGAGACCCGACTCGATGCAGAGTCATCTAAGAAGGAAGGGATGACCGACTTAGGAAAACCTAGCTCGGTCGAGGAAAGGCTGGAAGAGCTAGTGCTCAAGTCAAGAGGAGGAATCCGATCCAAAACGGATCTCGTACCCGAGACCACCCCAGAGGATGGCAGTATATAGGACAGCGGGACTGGTTCAAGAGAGGAGCTCAATCTGGGAGCTGAAGGATTCACTAAAGGAGGACTACTTGTACCAAAGTTAAGGCGGGACTGACGACCCCCTCCTGACCGACCTACTCCCCTCCTACCTCGGCCTCCACGAGAACTGCGACGGCCTCCACGGGGACCACGGAGAAGCTGTTGAAGCTTCTCCTCCTCGGTGTATTCCCTACCAAAAAACCAGTACTGAATAGAGCGAGGCAACTGACTCACCACCTCTTCCTTCTCCTTGCCACCTAGACTGGATGTCGGACCAAAGGAAGAACTAGGGGCACTCATTATAAACCCCCAAGAACAGAAAAGGAACCCTCAACACTTCGAAGAAGAAAGTATAAACCTCACCTTCAAGTTTAAACAGAGGTAACTACTCAATGCAACCTAACCCAACCAAAAAAAGATTCGTAAAAGCAAAGAGAATAGGAAGGTACCTGAACTTAGAAGCAAGGATGATGAGAACTAGACTCAATGTGTGAAAACCTTCACTGGAAGAGAGGAGAGCTCCAAGAGAGTTTATAAAACACAGAACCAGAACTGGAAATCGATTAACATCAAAAGCTCACTGCGAAACCAGACGAATGTAAAAGTTTTGAACCCATTCGAAAGCTGGTATTTAAAGGACGATGAATTGCTTAAGGCGCGAAGGCGAAGAGTTTTTCCAAATGGTTAAGTGATGGAGGGAAAAAAAGGGATTTCACCCTGAATGCATTAAATGCACTTCATCATAACCTACATAAAGATAAAGCAGAACGCCCTGCACGATGCACGAACGACCAACGAGCGCGAAGCACGTGGATCGCCATAACCGTCACGGCAAACGTGATACGAAAGGTCAGGATAAAATGATAAGGCCAAATTTCGACTTCCGTGTTCAAACAGCGCCTAGATTTCAAAGGTCGGGAAAAGTAGGGCGTAACTGAAGGTCACAACTTGACTTAGAACGTTAACTCGATCCAGCACAAGGAAAACAAAGCTCGGATCAATGGTATTCAAAAGTTCACAATGAGTTCAGGAAACATCTGACATGCTTACATCCGACTTCAAACGCAAACACCATGGAAGGTCAAGAGGCGTAGTGAACGTAATCTCGACAAAACAACTGAGTTAGAATGCTGACGTCGAAAAACTCGAAAGTCCAAACCCGAGAACAATGAACGCGGATAAACTGAATCTGTGATAACACAATGGCACCTCGACATCCCGGACCCCGGAATACCGAGCTGGGGGGCAACTGTTATGGATATGAATATCATATCCCAACTACCTACTAGAATATCTGGTGAGATATGGAATCAGCAACATCTCAACAACTCCAAACAGCCAAAGGGTATAAGATAAGGATCACATCCCAACATAAGGGGGTTGAATCCTACTACAATTGGGGAATCTCAAAAGGCCCAAGCCTAGGAAGGTAATCCTATAAATAGGAGCCTAAGGACCCCAGGTAAACACTCAGAACTCATTTACTACTTTCGCCCACGCTGTGCACCTATGAAGCACCGACTCCGACATGGCGTTTTCGATACGTTCCAAATACGTTCTCGATACGACCATTAATTCGTCGATACGATACAATACGTTTTCGATACGTTCCCGATACGCGTATCAGATACGTTGGAAAAAAAAATTCGGAGTATCGGTGCTTCATAGCTGTGCACACACCCACACCTTGGCTATAAGCTTATTGCTTGTGTGCAGTGATTTGGAACCTTGGCTATAAGCCTAGTATACAGTTGATATACACTATCTCTGAGCGCATACCCTACGATATAGCAATACGTTCTATCCAGGACCTAACACCCACGTGTGTGTGTATATATATATATATATATATATATATATATAGATAAGATTATCTCACCGAGGGTAACTCAAAATTCATACCAAAAATAAAATAAAAATCGGAGCTACGACAGGGAAACTAGGTTACCTACTTAATTAGTATTTAATTGATAAGTAGCACCTTACATGTAATTTTTTTTATTACTAAAAAAATTAGTAAATTGATTTATGAAAAACTAATTTCTTTAAAAAAACCACAAACCATAATATGAAAAACAGAAAAGTCAATTTAGAAAAGTTTGACTTCTCAATATGAAAAAATTAAAAATAATCCCTCAAAATTCATATTTTAAGAAGTAAAAGCAATATTTCCGCAAAAACAACGTAATCGAGGGGTTATATTTACAAAGAAAAAAAATTTAATTATTTTTATAGTTATTTTATTAAAATCAATTCAGCGACTTTTATTTAATGTCGTTATAATTTAACTATGATTGAGTTCTTACCCAAAATTAATTTTATAACCGATTCAAAAAATTAAAACTAATTAAGATAATGGGAGCTGAGTCGCCACAGAAAGGCAATACAAAAGGCGTTCAACTCGGGCAGGTGACATCGTAATTCGTACGTCAATCAAATCGGAGATACCACGAGGAAATGAGGTTAGCTCATTAATTAATATTTAATTAATGATTCGCACCTTATAAGTACATGATTTAGTCAGGGGTTGATCACCCGTTGAATTTGAAACAACCATTATTGCTTCAAACAACAAACGAGGAACAATGGGTTCTCACTCTCAGACGGTTGAGTTGTTGAGAGAGGAAATCCCAGTGACACAACAACCTCTGTTCTTATCCGAAGACATCAAAACTGGTCTCGTACTCGTCGACCTTGTCAATGGCTTCTGTACCGTTGGTGCTGGTAATTTGGTAAATAATTTCTTTAAATGTTTTTTTTCTTTTATTTATTTATTTATTTTTATTTTATCGATTACTGATCCGATTCGAGTTTGGAACATAAAGTTTTCTTATTTGCAATTTCTTGATCCGCTCATTGTTTGTTTCCTTGGCATTTTGTTGTACTTGTTATCTGATTATTATATTGTTGTACTTTGTTTATAATATTATGAATTTATGATGTTTGGTCTTTGTTCATTGTGATCGTTTTACTATATGACAAAATTTCGATTTTTTTTTTGTCACTTGTGATGATGATGTTGTAAGGCCCCGAGGGAACCAGATAAACAAATTTCTAAGATGGTGGATGAATCGGTGAGGCTTTGCAAAGCGTTCTGTGAGAAGAAATGGCCTATTTTTGCTTTCCTTGATTGCCATCACCCGGATATTCCTGAACCCCCTTATCCTCCTCACTGTCTTGCTGGAACAGATGAAGCAAAGTTGGTTCCCGGTAATTTGTTTTATAATGTTGTTGTTTTCACTGTAATATGGCTTGAATTCATTGAAATTATTGCTTCTTATGAGGATATATGCTTATTGGGTTTGTTTGTTTTTTTGTTCTGCCAATTTGGTTTGGATTCCTCTGAATTGAAGAGCTGCTGTGGTTGGAAAATGAACCAAATGCAACACTCAGGCGCAAAGAATGCATTGATGGATTCCTTGGTTCAGTTGAAAAAGATGGCTCTAATGTCTTCATTGATTGGGTGAAGAACAATCAGTTGAAACAAGTAAGCCTTTCCCATATAGTGTTTAACTTTGATTCTCTGTTAGAATAAAATGTTTTATACCTTATGTAAGCAAGAAGTGCCGTGTTATAGTTGTAACTAAGGTTGCAGTAGGAACTCCAAGTTGTTTTTAAAACAGGTAGCATCATATTGTTCATTAATTCACTGGTGAGACTAGGTTTAAGGTGTATATTTTAATTTTCACTTATTTTGAATTTGGTTCTTATAATTTTTTAAGCTATAAGTGTGTAGAATTTTATAAGTAGATAAGTTTGGAATAGTGATAAAATTGGTCCTTTGTGATGTGTTAGAATCCAAGAAATAATCTCTTTACAGATTTGCAAGGGTAAGGTTGTTGCATAGAAGGATTTTTTAGAATTTTATATTATTAAGGTTTGGTTCCCTTAAAAACTAATACTTAATAAGTTAAATTATAGAAGCCAATTTTTTATAAAAATAAAAATAAAAATTACTATTTACTTTTAATGAATAGAAATTATAGGAATTAAAATTAAAATATATGAAAAATATAAAGGATTAATACTTATTGGTAGGGACAGAAACTAAAGAAATAAAAGTATAGGTACTAAAACTCGGAAAATAATATTGAGACCAAAACTCAAATTAATAAAAATTATATAGACTAAAATGTACTTTAAACCAAGATACTAAGATTACCAAAATTAAATTCTTTCTTTCCTATATGTCTCCTCGACCAAACTGTCTACACTTGTTCATGGCTGAAGTTGAATGAGTTTTGGAATCTCAAGAGGTTCTTTCTGAATATTATTTGCATTTAGTTCAGATATTTTTTCTTGTTGAGGCTTTTAGGCTCTCTGTTATTTTCTTGTTTTACAGGTTTTGGTAGCTGGGATATGCACTGATATATGCGTGCTGGATTTTGTCTGTTCAGTTTTGTCTGCAAGAAATCGCCTTTGGCTTTCTCCTCTGGAAAATGTGATTGTGTACTCCCAAGCTTGTGCTACTTATGATGTTCCAGTACATGTCGCCAAAACTAACAAGGATGTGGTATCGCATCCACAGGTACTTGGTCAAATTAAAGTGTGGCTTCTGGTGAAACACTTAATTATCTTAATGTTAAATTGTTTGAACTTGTATCTTAATTGCCTAAACTTCAGCACTCAGAAGATATTTCTGAACCCTTCCCTTGTTGTGTTGGTTATAAATATTGTGAACCTTGCAAGTTTAGTTGTTTTCAAAGTTGACTTGTATGACAGAAATGAATTATCCGGGAGAAATAAGCAGTTTTAAGATGCCACTGAACCTGGAAGTAGATATGATAAACATAATCTCATTATTTAGATGTTGGGTGATGGTAATTCTAATTCATATGACATTCTGAATCACTTAATAATATTTAAGAAAGTTGACTCTGTTGAGAAATATGTTTCTGTTCTCTGTTACTATATGACAATGAACACTCAGTAATAAACTCTTAGATTTTTGAGCTTTGATACTTTCTCCAGAGTCCAGACCTATGGGACAGTATAGATTAAGAAACTTTAATGGCCAGGACCTATCATAAATAGTGGGAATGAACAACTTATACAGAATGGATTTTAAGATAAATGTTTTCATCCACCCTCTTAAGAGATTTTCTGTTGCAATTGCTGAGTTTTCAGTTTTGATTAATAGGATGTCTTCCTTCAGAAAATTATGCGATTTCTTTTTTCAGGCATATGACCTGTATATTGCATTCCTATTGGTGAACAAATAAAATCTGATCATATCTCCTTAGTTCCCTTGAGATGGAGTAGTGGTAGTGAATAACATTTGTCAGCTCAAACATGATTTGTGCCTTTGTGACCGTCAAATGGAAGTTGTGATCATGCTAATCTTACATGAAAATTTTTAAAAAATCAAACATAAGTCTGTGATCAAATGGATATTTATATTTTCTAAATGTTTTTCCTAATTTTTTTTTTAAATGTTGCAGGAGCTGATGAATCACATTGGCCTTTACATAGCCTGGGGAAGGGGAGCCAAGATAGCATCAGAGGTGTTATTTGAATAATTGAAAGAACCTTGAGTGTTAATATTATTGCTTAAGAAGTCTTCTGTGAAGAATGATGCTATTGGTCTGTGATTGCACTAGTTAGTGTATTTGAAGTTGGTCTTTCACGGAGGAGGCATTAAGAGAAAGGATTACATAAATGATAAATCTTTTATGAAGGAGGCAATAAGAAAAACTAGTGATATTTCCATTGTACTTTAAATAGATCTTATATATAAATGTATTAGTGTGTAATTCAAAGCCTATTTCTCTCGTCTTTTTCATCAATTCCCTATAATTTCAACTTAACCCTTCAACAGGTCTTTCTTTTGCCACATATTGAAGCGTGCAAAATAACCTTGAAAAGTCGAGCAGCGCCACATTTTTTGTCTTGTGCTCAAACTCAACACTTATTTTAGTTGTTTTTCCCTTGTAATATACATTGAAACAAATAATATTTTTGTTAACTATATATGTGATCACTGTAATACGCAGGTAGCTTTCATCTTCGAATACGTTTTTATGTGGTTTTGAACACTCTATCCTTCTGACAGACCACCCAACTCCTACTGAAACACCAATTCTAACTCATCTCCCATTACAAGATCTAACCCGAGTCCTACTTCTTCACTTACAAACCCTTCATTCCATATATTCCTTTCAAAAACCACAAAGATAACAAACAAGAACCCTTAGTCATACAAGAAATAATCAAAAGAAAATCAAGAGACAAGGGATCAAAAAAACTAATTTGATGGACCCTCATGCTTCATCTTCCATCCCCAATCTTAATCTTCAACCCCTCTTTAAAATTTTCTCACCATAACACAAGCTTCCTCTCTAGAAAAATGGAAAAACCAAAGATCATATATGTCTCAAAATTAGAAATAAAAAGGCCAAAACGTAGACTTCATCGGTACTTTGAGAACATTTTAAACAATTCCTTACTGTGCGACTCGTGCTACGTTGTTGAATTCTTTTCTTCAGCTCTTTCTTCCTTATTTAGCCTCTCTTAAGCACCATTGAGGTCCAAACTTTTACCCAAATCGTAAAATGTATAAGGTATTCAGGAATTTTTTAACCCTAAAAAAGTTCAACCTAAAATTCACCAAATTTTTTGCTAATTATCACTTAAGAATAATCGAACATCAATGAAAATAACCTTGCAACAAAAAGACAATCATGTGTCAGATAGGGCTTATATAATTCCATCTTCTTAGAGTTATAACCGATTAACTTGTACTCTCATGCATCTAATCAACAATGTTCTTTGATGTCTTGAGTAGCTTCAAACATTCAAATTTTTCACTCTATCCGTAATACTAGGTTTGCAATTGAGAAATTGATTCATGACCAAGCACATGCATGGACTCTAGAAAGGAAACTATAGCACTGATGTGTCCCTTCAAGAGGCTCGATCAAACTCCAACTCGCAAAGTTCTACGGGGTGTTTGGTTTGGAAAATATTTTTATTCTTAGGAATAATTACATCGAAATATTGACTTTGAATGTTTGGTACAATATTTGAAAAAACATTCTAATTCAACATTGACTCTTGGAAATGACTTATTCCCATTCTGTCACTCTCATTCCCATTGGGAGGATTGTTCCATTCCCATGAGAATATTTTTTCCATGTTAAATGTACAAAATACATACCCTTCTATATATTATCAAATAACCAGTGTTACGTTACGTCATTACTAGCAATAACCACCTGTCATTATCTGTGTTATTGAAGACAGTGGGTGATATTAAATCACTAAGAGGTTTGAACCCATGTATAGAACAAAAGAGATAATGATCAGAAATATCATACACAGTGCGATTAAGGAGAATTAGAACAGACTTACTTGATGTCAGTATAATGGAACATACAGATGAATGTATGCAGTATGAGGAATTAAATCTGAGCCCACAGAACGTGTCTCCTTAAGAAAATTTGCCCCCTAACTGATGCCGAAGGTTGATGGACACTTGTCTCCCAAGATAGAATGGATTTCGTCTGAAGAGTGGTGGCACTACCAGTCAACAGCCCAAACGAACACAACAATTGCCAGAGGAATTACACCGAAAAAAAATAGAAAGAAGTATGCAAAACCGGATGAAGGAAAAAATCCGGCAGAGTACAAAGTGCAGAAAACTGAATTAATTATTTTCTGAAGGGGTCAGGGTCTATATAAAGAAAACGTAAGGTCACGTTTCAAAAGTCACATATTCGACGACAAAACAACACATTCGTTGGACACGCAAAGACACATTCGTTGGACACGCAAAGACACATTCAAGGATGAAACAACACGTCCGTTAGGATGAAACAACACGTCCGTTAGGATGAAACAACACATCCTTTAGGATGAAAAGATACATCTGTTTGTCGACGAAAAGACACACATTTTCAGTACCAAACTTCTTATTCATAACTTATGGGATTTAGACCCAAAATCCAACAATCCCCCACATGGATAAGAAGTCAATTCAACGTGACAAAAAATGCATAAGAATATAAATGCAAAATATAATTACCTCAACGAGAAACAACTGCATTGAGATAGGTAGAGTTACCTTTGAACCTTCTCTAGTGAAAACCTATAGGATATACTCGGTCAATCGGTGGTCTGGCCGACTTGAACCGTCGACCTTTAGTGTATACCTAGACAATAGGAGTCACACAATTGCTTCTCTAGCATTGTTGGTCCTTTGTTGTGCCCATTTTGGCCGTGGGACACTTGCCTAGTTCTGTGAGTGTTTTAGTGAATCGGCCTTTGAAAAATACTCATAGAAGCGGCCCTCACTTCACACTCACATAGGTGATTTCTTGTGATGTAACCCACTATACATCATCTGAACACAACAGATTAAGAAATCATTAAAAGCCTAAATGCTTACCCTCATAATACACTGTCTTGTCATAGGAATGAGTATGAGTTTTAAAACTCCACAGTGTTTGAACAGTCGAACATCACTTAGTTGTCTCTTTGAACCTAGTTCGTGGGATCTCCACTCTTCTAGGTAGAGTTACCGCAATGCTCAACAATTGATAGGCCTTAAACCCATTCCTTTTGACAAATTCTCAACCAACTCTCTAGGAATCCCTTTGGTTAACGAATCCGCTATGTTCTCTTTAGACTTTACATAGTCAATTGTAATGATTCCATTTGAGAGTAGTTGTCTTACAGTATCATGTCTTCGACGTATATGTCTAGACTTATCGTTATACATGACGTTCTTGGCTCTTCCAATAGCTGCTTGACTATCACAGTGTATGCATACGGTTGGTACCGATTTTGGCCAAATAGGAACATCCTCAATAAAATTACGAAGCCATTCGGCTTCTTCACCGGCTTTATCTAAAGCAATAAATTATGCTTCCATGATTGACCTTGCAATGCAGGTCTGTTTGGACGATTTCCAAGACACAGCACCCCCACCAAGGGTGAACACATATCCACTTGTGGATCTAGTGTCGTTAGAGTCGGTGATCCAACTTGCATCACAATACCCTTCTATAACTGTGGGGTATTTCTCGTAATGCAAAGTAAAGTTTTGAGTGTACTTCAAGTATCCCAAAACTCTTACAATAGCTTTCCAATGATTTTCATTTGGATTACTAGTAAATCGACTTAACAGACTTATTGCATAAGCAATAACAGGTCTGGTGCAGTTCATAACATACATAAGGCTTCCCAACACTTGAGCATATAGCTTTTGTGTTGTAGCTTTACTAGTGTTCTTTAATAAACTAAGATTAGAATCTACAAGATTCCTACAGGGGTTATATTCAAACTTTTGAATTTCTCAAAAACCTTAGCTATATAGTGAGCCTGTGATAAGGCCAACCCTGCAGATGTTCTATGGATTTTAATACCTAGAATAACGTCTAATATCCTCATATCTTTCATATCGAATCTACTTTTAAGTAATTGTTTGCTAGCTTTAATCATTTGATTATTACTACCCATGATCAACATGTCGTCTACATAAAGACAGACAATGGCAAATCCTTTTTCAGTATTTCGAACATAGACACATTTGTCACACTCATTAATTCGAAACCCATTTGATAACATAACATTGTCAAATTTCGCATGCCATTGTTTTGGAGCTTGTTTTAACCCGTAAAGGGATTTTATTAAGCGACAAACTTTATGTTCTTGTCCTGGAACAACGAAACCTTCAGGTTGTTCTAAATATATCTCTTCTTCTATGTCACCGTTTAGGAAGGCAGTTTTAACATCCATTTGATATATTTCTAATACATTCAATGCATCTACTGCGAACAACATCCTGATGGATGTGATCCTTGTAACAGGTGAATAAGTATCGAAATAGTCGAGAACTTCACGTTGCCTGCAGCCTTTTACCACAACCCTAGCTTTATATTTATCAATAGTGCCCTTTTCTTTCATTTTTCTTTTGAATACACATTTACTTCCTAAAGGCTTATTGACAGGAGGAAGATTTACCAATTCCCAAGTGTGGTTGGACAAGATAGACTCTATCTCACTATTGATAGCCTCTTCCGAGAATGGTCCTTCCGGAGACATTATAGCTTCCTTATACTTCCGAGGCTCATTTACTAATAAATACGTCATAAAATCAAGTCCAAAGGATGTGGCTGTCCTTTGCCTCTTGCTACGTCTAGGTTCATCTTCTACATCCTCTACAGGATCAATATTAGTTGTAGCATCTCGAGGTATCATAATGTGATCATCATTATTACCACTTGATTCATGTACTTTATTATACGGAAATATGTCTCCAAAGAAAGTAACTTTCCTTGACTCAATAACCATATTAACGTGTATATCTGAGACATCAGATTTATAAACTAGAAATCGAAAGGCACTACTATTAAGTGCATAACCGATGAATACACAATCCACGATTTTATGTCCGATTTTCAACCTTTTAGGTTTAGGAACTGCAGCCTTAGCCAAGCACCCCCACACTCTAAAGTATTTCAAGGATGGTTTCTTTCCTTTCCATATGTCGTATGGTATGCTCTTTGTCAAACACCCCCCATATGTCGTATGGTATGCTCTTTGTCAAACACCCCCACACTCAAGATAATTCAAGGTAAGCTCCCTACCTTTCCATATTTCATATGGGGTGTTCTTAATTTTCTTGTTGGGTACTTTACTGATTATATATAATTTGTCATTAAATGACTTTCCCCCACAAACCAGACATCAACAAGATCATTTCATTTAGTGGTTGGTTCTTTCTATCAGCAATCCTATTGGATTATGGAGCATAAGGAGACATCATTTGGTTTGTAG